TCTAATCTTTGCCTATGAGCCTCTTGCTTTTCTCTTTCTATTTGAGTTGTAGGGCTAGTGTTTTGATTTTGGCCCATTTTTCTTTTTTGATGTATGCATTTATTGCTATAAATTGACCTCTGAGTGCTGCCTTTGCTGTATCCCAAAGGTTTTGGTACGATGTGTTTTCATTCTCATTTGATTCTAGGAATTTTTTTTTTGTTTCCTCTTTGATTTCTTCTATTACTTAGTTGTTTTTAAGGAAGGTGTTAATCAGTTTCCATGTATTTGATTTTTTATCCTTGCTCTTCCTGTTATTAATTTCTGCTTTTATGGTGTTTTGATCAGAGAAGATGCTTGGTATTATTCTGATGTTTTGGATTTTATTGGGGGTTGATTTGTGGCCTAAAATGTGGTCTATTCTGGAGAATGTTCTATGTGCTTTAGAAAAGAATGTATTCTTTGCTGCTGTTGAGTGGAGTATTCTGTATATGTCTATGAGGTTGAGTTGGTTGATTTTGACCTTTAGATCTTCTATGTCTTTGTTGAGTTTCTTTCTAGATACTCTGTCCTGTACCAAGAGTGGTGTGTTGAATTCTCCTACTATTATTGTGGAACTATCTTATTTCTCTTTCCAGTGCTTTTACGTTTGTTTTATGTACTTTGGAGTCTTGTCGTTGGGTGCATAGATATTTATTAAGGTTATGCTTTCTTGTTGGATTGTCCCTTTAATCATATAATGTCCTTTCTTGTCTTTTGTGGTGGATTTTGTCTTTAAAGTCTTATTTTATCTGAGATTAGTATTGTCACTACTGCTCTTTTTTGGTTCCCGTTTGCTTGATGTTTTTCTTCATCCTTTGATTTTTAATATATTTATGTCTTTGTGTCTGAGGTGTGTCTCTGGTAGACAGCATATTGATGGTTTGTGTTTTTTTTAATCAGTTCTGCCACTCTTGGTTTCTTTATGGGTGCATTTAAATCATTTACATTCAGTGTGATTATCAATAGTTATGAGTTTATTGCTGTCATATTGTGCTTTTTTTTTGTGATGCTGACGTTTTCCTTGTTCCTCTTACTTTCCTGTGCTGAGTTCCTTTTGTTTGTGAATTTTCTTTTCATTTTTTTCGTTACTATAGATTTTTTATTTACTGAGTCTTGATGTTTTTATTTTGATGAACCGATTTGCTTTCTTTGTGATTACCTTGAAATTCACCCTTGTCTTCCTAAGTTTGAATGAGTTTTTTATTACTTAATATTACCTTGACTTCCTGTCTGTTTGAAAGTTCTACATGTACACTTTTTATTCCCTCTTTTATTGTTTTGTTGTTGTCATTTACAGATTGACGTCTCTGTTACCTTGTCTTTTAGCTTTGTTTTAGTATTGACAGTTCTTTATGTAGATTGGTATCTGGCTCATGCTGTCCTGTGTCCTAGACTCTGATTGTTGCCTGATGTTGTTGGTTCTCTAACCAAAGGACTCACTTTAATATTTCTTGTCAGTTTGGTTTGGTTTTTATGAATTCCTTTTATTTTTGTTTATCTGGAAATGTCCTAATTTTACCATCATATTTGAGAGAGCTTTGCAGGATATATTATTCTTGGTTGGTAGTTGTTGTCTTTCAAGGTTTTATATATGTCATAGCATTGCCTTCTTGCTTATAGTTTCTGTCAAGTAATCAGAGCTTAGTTTTATTGCTTTCCCCTTTGTAAGTGCCTTTTTATTTTTCTTGAGCCACTCTCAGTATTTCTTCTTTGTCTTTGGTTTTGGCAGGTGTGATTATGATATATCTTGGTGACTTTCTTTTGGGGTCTGTCCTCTGTGGGGTTCGTTGAGCATCTTGGATGGTCAGCTTTTCATCCTTCATATTTGCGATGTTTTCTGCCTACACAGTCTTCTCTGTGTTTTCCATTTTCTACTCATGTTCTGGAACTCTGATCACACGTAATTATTTCCTCTTGATTGTGTCCCACATAATTTTTCGGTTTTCTTCACTGTTTTCCCTGATTTTTCCTCCAACAAAGTGGCATCCATAGATTTGTCTTCAGTCTTGCTGATTTGCCTTCCGTTGTTTCAAATTTGCTCCTAAAACTTTCTATTATGTTGTCCATTTCTGAAATTTTGTTGTTTACCTTTTGGATTTCTAGTTGCTGTTTTTGTATGATTTCTAATTGTTTATTCATTTTGATGTTTTGTTCTTGTATTATTTTCCTGAAGTCTTCTATTGCTTTTCTGTGTTTTCATTGGTTTTGTCTGTATTTTGCATGGTTTTGTCTATTTTTCCCTTGGTTTTGTCTGTGTTTTCCTTAAACTCTACTGTAATCTCTTGGAGAGCCCTAAACGTTAGTCTTTTGAAATCCATATCAGGTGCTTTGTCTGCCTTTTCTTCTACTGAATGGTCATCTTATTCTTTATTTTGGTTACTTGCTGGTGCCATGTTGCCCTGCTTTTTTATGTCCTGATATTGCCAGGTTTCTGTGAGACATTAACATATGATTTTCTTTATTTATTGATTGTATGTTTTTTTCTTTGGTTCTGCTTTTTTGTTTTGTTCTGATATGTCCTGGCAGGTGGACTGGGTGTGCTTTGCTGCTTGCTTGTCTGTGGGCATGTTAGATTTTACCACCTTATCTGGTTGGGCAGGGCAGCAGGAGATCAGGCGAACCTGCTTCACTCTACTCTGGTTTGGAAAGGTGGCTGAGGGTGGACTGAGCAGGTGCTGTCTGCCTCCTGATGTTTTTCCAGCTGTGTGGGAGTGTTCACAGCCCCTCGCCAGATGGGTAGGGTTGTCAGACAGGGAGTGTATGGGCTCGCTTCCCAATGTTCAGCAGCTAGTCAAGTGGTGGGAGAGGAGGGGCAGTGTAAAGCCGATGTGGGGGTGGGCTGAGCACCGGGGTCTGGTGGGAATAGGGGAATGTGGGATATGGCTCTAGGTGGGAGGGAGAAAGAAAAAAAGGAGAAAGAAAGAAAAAAGGACAACATGGCAGGAGCTGGTGTGTGAGGGCGGTGTGGTCCCAGGGACTGGTGGGAAGTGAGGGAGGTGGCTTAGGGTGCTAGGTGGGAGGGAGAAAGAAAAGATGGAAAGGAAAGAAAAGAAAAAGAAAAAAGAAAAAAAATAATGGCACATTGGGGGCTGGCATGGGTTGGTGGGGTAGACCCAGGACAGCAGTGGGCCAGTGCTCTGGTGGCACTGTATTCACAGCAGCACTGTGGGGGCCAATGGGAAGGAGGGTAGGTGGTGTAGGTGGTAGATGGGAGGGGAAAGAAAAAGAAGAGAAAAATAATGGCGTGGTGGAGGCTGGCAGGTGGGTTGGGTCAGACCCCGTGGCCAGCGGGAAATGGGGCTTGGTGGGAGGGAGAAAGAAAAGAAAGAAAAAAATGGTGGTGCAGCGGGAGCCAGCGGGTGGGGGCTCCTTGTTCTCTGTTTTCTGTCAGTTTCTTCTTCCATAAGGTAGTTGATCTAGTTCTTTATCTCTTTGTTTGATGCTCAAGTTTCCAGGACTGACATTTGTATGTGTTTTACTTAGTTTTTTTTTTTGTATCTTTGCTGTAGAGGGCAGCATGGTGCATCTGTCTAGGGTACCGTGTTGACTCCACCTCCTGCATACTTTTTTATGATGATTTTTTTACCATCGTGTGCATTAACCTGTGAAGCATGACCATGAGGGGAGTATAGTAAAAACTGAATTTCCTTTCTTCCCCAGACCTTGGCTCCCAGGCCCCCTTCTTAGAGGTGCCACCATTACCATTTTATTTGTGTATCCTAAAAATATCCCATGTATATAAAAACATTAGTGTGTGTGTATATAATCTTCCCCTTTTCTGCACAAATAAAAGCATGCTTTTATACACTGTTCTGCACCTTGCTTATGATCAGTTGTGGAGGTTGTTGGAACATACACATTTAGCTGCCTCATGCCTTTTAATGGTTGTGTAGTATTCAGCTGATGTTGAAAAGCTCCTTTTCATTATATTGTTATATGTTCTGAGTGCCTAGTTGAGGATAGGTATCTTAAAACATAAATTATAGCTTAAGCTTTTCTTTTTTTTGAAGTATTGATTTTAAAAATAATACTCTTTGCAGGAAGTTTTGAAGCTTAAAAAGTATTGAAGCAAAAATGTTTATAACTAAACTATCCAAAGGTAACTGCTATACTTTTTGGGATATTTTCTTTCAGTCATTTTTCCTATATATTTTTGATACGATAGAGACATATATTATAACATCTTTTTTTTTGACCGAGTATATTATATGCATTGTTTATGTCTTTAAAACTTTGTGTGCTTTAAAAATGGTTACAGAGCACTTCCTTATATGAACATAGTATAATTTATATTTATAGTTTCCTTAATGATGGACACTTAAATTTTTTTTTACTGTTTTACTAATGCTGCAATGCATATTTTTGTGCAAAAATATTGGTATAATTTTGCGTGTTCATTCTAAACTAGAATTTTAAAAGTAAAATAACTGGGTCAAAGGGTAGATTATATTTTAACCTCATGATATATATAAAAATTTTTTTCCCAAAAGGATAGTACCAGCAGATAAAATGCTTGTTCCGATTGAAGGATGGAAGTATTGGCTATTTTCTTTTTTTTACAATGGCCAATTTGATAGGAGGAAAAATCTGAATATGCATTTCTTTGATTAGTAATGGTGGGGTGAATTTTCTTTTTGGTATTGATTAGCCTTTAGATCTCTTGTGAATTACTCCATGTTCTTAAGCTATTTATATATATTGCTCTTTTTAAAAAATTTACTTGAATGAGTTCTTTTTATAAATAATTCATTGTCAGATTGATAACCTTTAGCAGTTGAATAACTTAATTCTTAAATTTAGACTGGTTTCCTCTGGAACTTAGGCCTGTTAATTTTCTTTTTCTTTTTTTATTTGAAGCATGGTTTGTAATCCATTTTATTGGCACGTTTACCATAATCTTGGCTCTTAGTGTTAATGGCTAATGTGTTTGCTACTAGAAGGCTTTTTGTGAAGCTCAATATTTATGGCCTGTTTTATAGATGACGGCGCTCGATCCCAGGTTTTGAGAGAGAAAGTTATTGAATTGGAAACAGAAATAGAAAAATTCAGAGATGAGAACACATCTTTAACTAAACTTCGCATTGAAAGAGAAAGTGCTTTGGAAAAACTCAGGTAAGTTTGCATCTGTAAGTCAGGAAAAAGTATACAGCGACACAGTTGAAAGTATTTCTCATTAATCCAAGAAATATAAATGAAAAGGAGGTGGTGCAGCGGTTAAGAGCTCTGCTGCTAACCAAAAGGTCAGCAGTTCGACTCCACCAGCTGCGCCTTGGAAACTCTGTGGGAAAGTTCTACTCTGCCTTATAGGGTCGGAATTGGCTTGATGGCGGTGGATTAATGGGTTAAGATTTTTTTTTAAATGACCTAGTGTGGTCAAAGACATATTAAAATCGGAATTCTCTTAGTCGTAAGGTCATAAACTGTTATTTGAAAAGCAATTTGGAACTATGAATTCAAGTGCTATAAATCAAGTACTATCTTGGCCAGCAATATGGTAAATGTGGTATTCCACTCTATGTCATGACCTGATTTGATTTTGTTGGGTAACAAAACCTGAACTAAACTTACATGAGGCTATTTATATAGTTCTCCCCCTCCCTCCACTTATTGTGAATAGTCACATATTTTGTTGCAGAAATACTAATACTTTTGATTACAGGTTGTTGCCCTGGACCTTGCTGGCAATGTTATTTAGTATACATACTGTGTATTTCTTTTTCTTTTTTTAAATTGAGAATAAATTTACATAACATTCAGAGTTAGTGGATTTGCAACATATTGCAAGTGCCACCTCTCTCTGGTTTCAAAATTATCATTATCCTGGAAACACCCATATCCATAAAGTAATCACCCTATATCCATTAGTAATCACTTAATATCCATTAAGTAATCATATTCTTTAAGTAATCTATATCCATTAAGTCAATCATATTCTTTAAGTAATCTGTATCCACTAAGTAATCACCCATAAGTAATCTCTCCCCATCTCCTGGCAACCAAAACTCTGCTTTCAGTCTCTATGAATTTATCAATTCTGGATATTTCGTATATACCTTCTCCTCACTTATTGACTCTCTTGTTATCTGACATTTCACATTTACCTCAAATAGTAAAAAATCTACCATCTATTTTGTGCGTTAACGACGTGTCTGGTAGTAATGAACACTGAGGTGCGAGGACGAGTAGCGCTGGCTTTGATGGTTAAGGTTATGTGTCAAGTTGACTGGGCCATGATTCTCATTGGTTTGACAATTATGTAATGTTGTGATCTGGCAATTAAGTAATGATGTAGTTTGGCAGTTACGTAATGATGTAATTTGGCAATTATGTAATGATGTAGTTTGGCAGTTATGCAATGATGTAGTTATCTTCCATTTTGTGATCTGATATGGTCATCCGCATTTTCACATAACAACCTGGTCTTTGGCACTTAACCATGTCGATAAGTGAGGAGAGGGTGTAATGGGAATCATGTAATATGTGACCTTTTTTATCTGGCTTCTTTTACTTAGACTAATATTTTCAACGTTTATCCAAGTTGTGGCATGTATTGGTACTTTATTCCTTTTTATGACAATAATATTCTATCGTATGTATATGCTGGAGCCCTGGTGGTGCAGTGGTTAAGAGCTTGGCTGCTAATAAAAAGGCTGGCAGTTCATTCGAATCCACCAGCCACTCCTTTGAAATCCTCTGGGGCAGTTCTACTCTGTCCTATAGGGTTGCTATGAGTTGGAATCGATGGCAGTGGGTTTTGATTTTTTTTTTATGGGTATGTACATGCCACAATTTGTTTATTCATGTGTTGATGGAGATTTGGGTTATTTCTGCCTTTTTGGCTATTGTGTTTAAGTTTTTGAACAACCGCCAAACTGTTATCCACAGCAATTGTACCATTTTACATTTCCACCAGCAGTGGATGAGAAATCCAATTTTTCCACATCCTCGCAAACACCTGTTCTTTTCACATTTTTTTTTTTTTATGATAGCCATCTTAGTGGGGATGAAATGGTTTTGATTTGCGTTTCCCTGTGTGTTTAGTAGAATTCAACAATGAAGCCATCTGACCCTGTACTTTTCTTTCTTTGGTAATATTTTGATTACTGATTGAATCTCTTGTTATATGTTGAAATTTTCTGTTTCTTCTTGAGACAGTCTACTAATTAGTGAGTCAAGGGATTTGTCCATTTCATCTAGATTATCTAATTTTTTGGCATACAGTTGTCCATAGTATTCTCTTATAATCCTTTTAATATCTGTCATTATGATAGTAATGGCCCTGTTTCCTTTTCTGATTTTAGTAATTTGAGTCTTGTCTTTTTGTCTAGCTAAAGGTTTGTCTATATTGTTGATCCTTTCATAGAACCAGCTTTTGGTTTTGTTGGTTTTCTCTTATTTTTATAGTCTATATTTTGTTTTATTTCTGCTCTAGTCTTTATTATTTCTCTTTCTCTGCTGGTTTTGGGTTTAGTTTGCTCTTATTTTTCGTGTTCCTTAAGGTGCAAAGTTAGGTCATTGATTTGAGATATTTCTTCTTCTTTAATGTAGGCATTTACAGTTAAAAATTTCCCTTTGAGCACTGATTTGGTGCATCTCATAAGTTTTGGTATGTTGTGTTTTCATTTTAATTTGTCTCAGTGTTTTCTAATTTCCCTAATGATTTCTTCTTTGACCTATTGGTTGTATAAGAATGTTTTATTTATTTTCCATGTATTTGTGAACTATCTAGTTTTCCTTCTGGTACTGATTTTTAGCTTTATCTCATTGTGGTCACAGTAGGTATTTTATATGATTTTAATCTTTTTAACTTTATTGAGAATTATTTTGTGGCCTAACATATGGCCTATACTGGAGAATGTTCCATGTGCAGTAGAGAAGAATATGTATCCTGCTGTTGTTGGGTGGGGCATCCTGTATATATGTTTGTTAGGTCTAGTTGGTTTATAGTGTTAAGTCCTCTATTTTCTTATTGATCTTTTGTCTAGATGTTCTGTCCATTATTGAAAGTGGGGTATTGAAGTCTACAGTTATTATTGTGGAACTGTTTATTTCTCTCATCAATTCTGTCAGTGTTTTTGGGTCATAGATTTTGGGGCTCTTTTGTTTGGTGCATATATGCTTATATTTGTTACATATACTCTATGAATTGACCCTTTTATCAGTATATAGTGTTCTTCTTTGCCTTTTGTAAAAAATTTTGGCTTAATTTCTATTTTGTCTGATAGCATAGCCACCCCAGATCTCTTTTGGTTACTGTTTGCGTAGAATATCTTTTTTCTACCCCTTCATCCTATTTGTGTCTTTGTGTCTAAAGGTAGTGTCTTGTAAGCACCATATGGTTGGATCATGCTTTCTTATCCATTCTGTCAATCTCTGTCTTTTAATTGGTGAGTTTAATCCATAAATAAAGTCATTACTGATAATAAATGGCTTCTGCCATTCTGCTGTGTTTTTTGTGTTCTTCACATTCTTCAAAACTGCATTCCTTTTACCTTCATTGATTTTTTTCCTAGTGTACCATTTTAATTACCTCTTCATTTCCTTTTCTGTATTTTATTTTTTTAGCTATTTTCTTGGTGGTTGTCATGGGTTTTAAAGTTAATATCCCTAATTTATAAAAATTTAGTTTGAATTAATACCAATTTAGCTTCAGTAGTATATATTAACTCTGTTCCTGCTCAGCTTTGTTTCCCTCCCCTTTATGTTGTTTTTGTCACAAATTACATCTTTATACATTGTGTGCCCATTGATATAGATTTATAATTATTGTTTATACATTTGCATTTCAACCATATAGAAAACAAAAAGAGGAGTTACAAATCTATGATACTAGCTTTTCCATTTACTTTTGTGGTTATTTTTACCAGTGTTCTTTATTTCTCTATATGGCTTTGAGTTACCGTCTGATGTTCTTTCACTTCAGCCTGAAGGACTTCCTTCAGCACTTCTTGTAGGGCAGGTAAACTAGTATCTGAGAATGTCTTAATTTCACCTTCAATTGATGAGAAATTAACTTTTAATCTTATTATAGATCCCTTGTATGTGATGAGTTGCTTCTGTCTTGCTGCTTTCAAGATTCTGTCTTTGGCTTTCTGTAGTTTGATTATAATTTGTCTTGGTAACTCTTTGAGTTTATCCTCCTTGGAGTTCTTAGAGCCCTTGAATGTGTAGATTCATGTCTTTTATAAAATTTGAGAAATATTTGATTATTCTTTATTCTGCTTCTCTCTCTCTCTACTCCTTCTTGGACTCCCTTAATGAGTATGTTGGTATACTTGTTGGTGTTCCATAGGATCTGTTTATGGATATTCCCTACTTGTTCATGTATCATTCTCTTGATTTCCTTTAGTTCTCTGTCCATGATTTCTTTCAGCTCTTTGAGCATATTTATGATGTGTCTCTTCTGACACCAACTCTAAGTGTCTTCTCTGACACCAACTGCAAATATCACCCAGGAATAGGTCATATCTCACAGGTTAAAGGGAACATTTCCTCTACATTGCCAAGTCTGCCTGAGACTTCAGACACCAGCTTCAAGTTTGTGGGTCCATAGGATACCCACACTTCTACCAACTGTGTAAATTTAGGGGTTCACATTACCTCCTCAGGACAATAGCTGCAAGCTTAAGGGTCACAGGACACTTGCACTTCTGACCTTCTGGCTACAAATTTAGGGGTTCCCACCACCCCTTCAGGATACTAGTTGTGCACGCTTAGTCTCCAGGATCACCTGTGCTTCTGGACAACTGGCTACAAATTTGGGGGTTCCAACTACCCCTTTGGGTTCAATAAGTCACTAGAAAGAATAGCAGAACTCAGAAAGGTGCTATATTGACAATTGCAGTTTTATTATGAAGGATACAAAAGAAGAGATACATAGGGTGACATCTGAAACGGTCCCTAATGTGGAACTTCCATGCCCTAAGGTTGTGTTACCCTCTATTATTGATTGAATTGCATCCCCAAAAACTGTGTTGTAAATCTTAACCTCTATGCCTATGGTAATAATCTTATTTAGGAATGGGTTGTCTTTGTTATATTAGTGAGACAGGGTTAGTGTAGGGTGTGTCTTAAGTCAGTCTCTTTTGAGAATAAAAAAGATCAAACAAGCA